ATCCCCATTCAGTTTTAAATTTTATGCAAATTCCTACCTTAAGCCCTGAGATACCATTTTAAATTTAACTAATTTAAGTAAATACTTTAACTTCCAATTCCAACATAACTCTAAGCCATTTTCAGGGCTTCACATCAAGCCTTCCCGAAATCTACTTATTACAGAACTCTCCGTATATTTACTCAAAGGGCCAAGCCTTTGAGGCATTCCACAGGTATCATGCTGACCCTTGGCACTTGGCTGAATGCCACCCTTGGACTTTGAGATGGTTCTCAACCCCTTTAGGAGAGATCTAACAATCACAGACTACATACTGTATCCTCTGCATGGAAAACCCGATTTATTTATTCTGTGATAATTGTCTCACATTCAAGCTTTGTTACGTAAAAATTTGTGGAAAAAACAACAAAACAGTAATGCACCAAATATAAAAAAAGACACAGGTAAACATGACTTACTACAGTATGTTATCATCTTGTTTCTTTTTTTACATCAGAAGAATGAAGAACTATAGTTTTATTTCCAGTCTCTTCTGAGTTGCCTGGTCCAAATCCACTCTATTTGAATCAAAAATGTATGCAAAGAGCCACCTGTTGCGGATGCAGATTAAGAATCATTTTCAGCATTTAAGAAATAAAGTAGTATAGAATACTGCATTTAAAAGTACCTTTGAAATGGAATTTGCGTATTTGGGCATTAGTTATACACCTTTTGACTAAAGTCGCTGGAAGTCTGCTTTTAAAACTACCCGGGACTGACACGTAGGGTCTGTTTAAAAAAAATGAAATGAGCTGACGTCCCTTATACTCTCTTGGATGTTCTGACATAAAAAGTCAAAGTATAAAATCAATAGGAGAGATTCTAAATTCATGTCAACTCTTGCAAACCCACTAAGATTTAAAATCTGCTCCCTTCGTTTTTTTTTTTTACCCTACCAAAACCCAAGAGACGTATATCATCTTGTGCTGCTCATTTTCTCTTTTTATGCATTGGATTTTTGTTATTGCCCTAACAGTTCAAATAAATGGCACTTTCTGGAGTCAGGAATAGAGGAATAGTTGGCCATAAATCATACAACTGAAGAATATCAATATTGGTTCAGTGCAGCATTCTTCATAAATTTATTCTGTAAATTGTTACTTTTCCATAGAAGGCTTTTCAGTCAAAAATGACAATACAGTTATACGGAAAATCTTATTCCATATTTGATAAATCCTTTTCCATTCTAGAACCAATTTAAAAAGAATAAATTGAACACTGCTTATTTCATTCCTTCACTTGTTCCTCCTGTCCAGTTCCTTCTCAGTCAGCCAGTGCACATCCAACTCTTACGTTAATGCTAAAGAAACTGTTGCCATCAGTTGCTACCGACATTTTGTCTGCATAGATCTCTGATCCTAATCATACTAACAACATATTATATAAAGTGCCACTACCTTACTAACAACAGCAAAAAATAGGGAGAGCCACAAGCACCCAGAAAAGATGCTAAATAAGTGTTACTTGATGAAACAGTCACATAACAGCTCTTGAAGGGAATATCTTAATATAAAGTCAGTTGCTCAATATCTATGATCTTTCTGATGTCATTTTTTTCAAGAGCTGGAAGGAAAAGAACAGCAGCTTATACATTGACCCAAACAACGCATATTAGAAATAAATGCTGCATTTTTCAGGTACAATGTAAAACAAAACAGAGGTCTTGGGAACGCTCTAGAAACGAATGGAATGCTTAAGAGCGGGAAACATGGAATGTGAAGAAAAGGAAGATGTTGCCCTCTGGAACTGACTTCTGGAATTATTTTAGTACCTAGTCAGCCTGCCATTTTTAACTACGTAGTTACATGGCACGTGAGCATCTGGGTAACTGCTGCATTTAAACTGACAGTTTTATTACCATTGCCCCGCCCCTGAAGTTTTGAGCGCTTCAGAGGTTCTATAACCTAATAGGTGTATATTATTACTGGTTTTCTACAAAATCCTCATATATTACAAGCATGAATTAGATGATACGAGAGAGAGAGAGAGAGAGAGAGCATGGGAGGAACAGCTGAGAGGTCATTACAGGTATCTTTTAATGTACACGGAACATAGCCACAGACATCAATGTTTTATGAGACCACAGTGGCACTGGAGCATAGTTCACAGCTGCAGAAACACCGGACAAAACACCAGAGAAACTTACTGACATTTCAAACATTCTCTTGACTCAATAGCATTTGTGTAGAGTGGGGACAAGAAAAATAAATAAATAAAGACAACAGTCTTTATGATTGTTCACTAGACTTCTAGTCACACCACATGAATGCCACAGGATTTTTTTTAACATGAGTGAGAATGGCTGTTCCAGAGATATTCTGATCCCTTATTACACAACATAGTTACAAAGTTAGCAATGAACTTGGAAGACTTTTTATTTTTGAACCTTTTAACCATAAAAGCATCTACTTACCTGCCCAATTATGTATTCCGCCAAATGCACTATTCAAGTACTGTACTTGTTGCAACAGTGTTCAGTATCTAAGTCTTAAAAGAAATGATGCTGCATGTTAAGAAGGAAATTAAGGAAAAACTACGCATAAAACTTTCTTAGAAATATTAGAAGTGAATATTTTGAGCCTTTCAGAGTAACAAAGACTGCGTGCCTGAACTACTGCTATAGCCCTGAAAAGAATCAATGAGATCAAGTTTTAAAACATGGTAAACCACTTATCATTTATCCTTCTATTAAGAGAAAGGGAAGTACAGTCTAGCATGGATGTTTTAATAAATTATGTATTTCTAGCAAAGGTTTGGCCAATCCCTAGAAATTTCATTCCCAAACACACACACACACGCAGACGAATATAACTACGCATGGTTGAGTCTGAAATTGTCTGAAAGCAGCTCCTGTTAGTAAGCGAAGCCAGCCTAATCTAAACGACCCACGGTTTGTATTAATAGAGAAAGAGAAAAGCGCGAGTTTTACAAAATGTATACACTTCACTAAGCTAAGCTTAAAAATACTCCATCGCGGCGGGGGAACCCCACAGCAGGCCGAGGCCTCTCAGCTGCCGGGGCGGCCGGCGCGGACCGC